GGGGGCGGGGGCGGCGGTTCATTCATTCATCCAGTGCCAGATCTGCGACAGACATCGGCGATCATGATTTTCCATTCATTCCTTTGCTCGGATGTTCTCAGAAAAGCTACGTTTCCCTGATTTTTCCCTGTTACCCATTTGTTTAGGTTCCCTACGTATGTTGTTCTGGGCCTACCCCTGCCTCGCTTGCCCTCAATTTTGCCAGTGAGAGCTAGATGTTCAAGACCCTTATGTCTATTCAGGTGTCCCAAAAACTGCATTTGTCGTTTCCTGATTGTTTTTAACATTGAGCGTCCCACGTGGGCTTCATCAAGCACTACCTCATTTGATTTCTTTTCCTTCCACGATACTCTTAGCAGTCTCCTAAGAAACCACATTTCTGTTGCCTCTATTTTATTTTCACGGTCTTTAGTGATTGTCCAGCATTCACAGCCATATAGAAGGGTTGACCAGACATAGCATTTCAGGACTTTCAATTTGGTGTTCATTGATATGATTCTATTTTTCAGGATTGGGCTCATTTTATTGAAACTAGCCTTAGCCATTGCAGTTCTCCTTTTTATTTCTGCGGAAGATTTGGCATCAGATGTTATCATATATTAAACTGTTGAACTTGTTTGATCTTTTCACCTTTGCTAATGAGATTACAACTAGGATTTGCTGCTTTTTTGGATATTACCATGCATTCTGTTTTCTTTACATTCAACAATAATCCTTTATGTTCGGTATGCCTATCAAATTGGCTGTCCAACTTATCGAGAAACAAAGTACTAGTAGGCCTATATAAAGCTATGAAATTCAGCCTTCTTTTCCCCCTCTCTCCCTCTCTACGTCTGTCGTCGTTGCACAGTTCCTTCAGACTTGGCACGGAGGTTGGGAGTTGAACTAGAGAGTTTTACTGCATACAATGTTATGTATAAATATATGTACATGAATTTATTGCCATGGACTCTGGATTCAGTCTAATCTACAATCAGTTGGCCTACTCTAAGGTATCGAATAATCGCCATTAATCGGAGGGAGTGGTCTAAAAAAAATTTTTTTTAAAGGATTCGAACAACCAGTTTCATTTTAAAAAATGTAGATCTAAACAAATGTACAAAAGTTTTTAAAATGCATTGAGGCAGCCAACCTTAGCGTACAAGAAACCAATGGACGGGAGTTGCTGATTTTTTAATTAATTAATTTTACTTATTTATTTATCTATCTATTCTGTTATTTTTCTCGTTGAATTGTCTTTCTTGCACAAATTTACTAAGTTTTTGATGAAAAAGTACGCCTATTCACTGCCCAGTTTGACACAGACGCAGTTTGTCACAATTTCATTTAAGTATTTAGATATCTAAGTATTGATGGCAGTCATAATTATAGCCCTTTAACACTACAGTCGTAACTTTAGTTTTCTTATTCTCGCTCCACGTTCAAATTGGTATTGTAACTTTAGATAGTCCCTTTTTTAAAATATCAATTCAGCTTGTGTTGTTCATGTTTCTTCATTTTTGTTTGCAAACCAAAGGATATTATTCTGTAAAATTTGAACAAGGAATGTTCTTTCGTTAAAAACAGTAGAAAAATAAAATTCAATTCATACTATTAATCAATCATTCATTTTTTCTCTTATTGAGAGTGATAACTTCCATCATGCACGGCATAGTCGAGGCGGGGTCCGTGGGCCTGTGACAAACGGGCATGCTTCCCTTTCACAGATTTCATATTAGTACGAAGTACTATCTCCAGTGTATATTGCCACAACAGCTTCTTTGATATCTAACTTCGCTGCAAGCCAATTATTCTGTATTCTTTTACATGTTTTCAGCAAACTAAAACATCTTTATGGTTTATCACACCAGCTCACTTAGAATTCTACTATAATACCAGAAAGTATTGGTCATTTCTACTCTACAGACACTCGATAAGTGTAAAATAAAAAATCATGCTGGTCTTTTGTGACAGATTCAGTTTGTTTTTCCTTTGACTAGATCTACGTTTAAGTTTTTTCCCGATTAACGTCAAGCAGTACTACAAAATCTCTAACTTTTGTATTCAAGTATTCCCTATTTATGTTTTACCAGCAAACATTGTAGTCATAAGCCTATTGATGAAAACCATTTTTTTTCGTTTTGTTTATCACTCATACTTCTAAATTCAAGATCAAGATCTAAGATCTGTATTTTTCTTTTGTTTCATGTTTCTCACCAACATTTATACAAGTGCGGATAGATTTAAAGCTCGTTCATGTTCTGCGACATCCTGAATAAGGAAGGGGTGGGGGTATTAAATGATCAGCGTTTGAACTTTGACGTTGATAGTTCATCCCAAGTACATGTAATTGGGAGCAATGTATCGGATGTTCTACTTTAATTAGTGCTAACTTATGAAGTTTGTGTGTGTGTGTGTGTGTGTGTGTGTGTGTGTGTGTGTGTGTGTGTGTGTGTGTGTCTGTGTGTCAGTGTGTGTGTGTGTGTGTGTGTGTGAGAGAGAGAGAGAGAGAGAGAGAGAGAGAGAGAGAGAGAGGTGGATGGGAGAGAGTGGGTGTGTTTCTCTACCATTTGCCTTGCGTTGCGTGCATAGCCGCATG